GTGGGGTTTGAGACGCCGCGTAGAGCAGAGTGCAGACGTGAGCAGGCTTCCGTTTGGAGTTGTGGGGAGACGTCGAAACAGGGGACAAGCACGTAACGCCACGAGGCTGGGGAAGGGACACGGGCCCCGTTTCCTGGAAGCAGAGCCTGCCGGGACTCGGGTGCCCGCGGTTCGTGGGGAGAGGCCACTCAGGGGCAGAGTGAGGGACGCGGGCTGGGCTCGGAAAGACAAGTGCCGGGGGCAACTTTCGCCAGAGTTGTCCACCTTGAAACAAGTGGCCACCTTTGAGCCCCCGAGTCCCGCTGGGCTCTGTCCCTTCCCCGAGCCCAGAAGCCACGAGCAGCCCAGAGCTTCGGCGAAATGTGTTTTGCAGCCACCGCAACAGGAACAGCCACTTTTTCCTCTGATGACTTGGAAAGACCCACCCCGGCACCTAGTTGCACAGTGTGACTCTGGCTCCGGTCCCACCTCCGAACTGGCCCTCTTCGGCCCTGCTACCCACAGGAAAAGCACCCTGCACCTTGCCAGACCGGGAGCCCCACAGGCCCACAGCTTCCACGCCTCCGACGGCCCTATTTCTGTCTGTTTTCCAGAACATGAGGATGTTTACCCCCTCTTAAACGGGGCCCATGTTTTCGAAAGTCTTTTTCCATTTCTCACATCGCTGCTGAGTTGTTGCGTCAGAGATGGGAGTGCTGGGCTCTAAGCAAAACGTGCAATGTCATCCTGACCAGCAGTCTCGGGTCTGTGCCTCCCTGATGGGGGGCTGACGGGCGCCCCAGTGGGGCCCACTCCTCCTGCTGTTCTACCTGTGGCGGCCGGTCCCTGCCTTGGCCTGGAAGACGCCGTGTCTGCACGGTGGGTTCATTACTGGCCAAGCGCCCCCTCAGCAGCCTCCCGGCTCCCACAGTAAGGCAGCCCCCCATACATCAGAGAGTGTCGGCATCCTGGCTGAGACTTGCTAGGGCTTGGCCCCACCAGTCTAGGTGCTGGACATTGGGAAGAGACGTCGCCGTGAGCTGTAAGCTGGACAGGGTGTAAATGGGACCAGGACACCAAGGAAGTCCTTCATTCGCTAAAGAGGGTGAACTAGGAATTTCCAGCGGCAGCTGGATGGTGCGATCGATCCCAGGCCCCCTCCGCCCCCACCCGCAGCCTCCACCTGTCCAGGGCCACCAGCAGCCTCCGCAGTATCTCTGTGCTAATTAGAAGCTGGCAGCCTTCTGAGTGGTCACAGCCCGTGCCTGTGACTTGATGGGCAGGGCACAAGGGGGACTGCAACCCCAACCCGCCCCCAAAAACCCTGCTGCACAGCTTCCCACAGGGGCCGGCTTCTGTCCGCCCCCCAGAGGTGGTCAGGGCCCCCCAACTAGTGACGTTCTGTGCCTTAGGGCTGAGGACTAAGGTGACTAGCATCGCTACCTGAGGCCGGTGTGGGCATTGTGCTTGACAGGACACGGAGGGGCAAGAGGAACCCTGGGGGGTGGGGGAGGGGTCCATCTCCCTGGGTCCTGAGAGCTCCATCTTGCCTTGTGAACCAGATCCGAGCATGGCATTCACTTCAGGTTTGGAGCGGACCCTAAAACAGTGCTTTCCAAGTTTTTGGTCACATACCCCCATCAACAACATAGACAAAAGACACACAAGTGGGATTCTCCCTAGGAATTCGAGGTTGGTTGCAAAAATCAATCCATGTGATACACTGTATTAATAAAGGACAAACCTCTCCTGGTCATCGCAAGAGGCACAGAAAAAGCGAGCACAGGACGACGTCCAAAACCTATTCGTGATTTATAAAAAATAAAAAATGTGTAAGTAAATGAAAACGCTCAATAAACTAAGGCCAGAAGGGAACTTCCTCAACCTGATAACTGCAAACGGGACCGAGGGGCCTTTGTGGGGGTGAAGGGTCACCCGACCCTACACGTTCCCGAGAACGTGCCGAGCTGTCCCCTGGCCGTGGTGAATTTTCTGGTATGATAAACACACCCAATAAAGCTGTACGAGAAAAGTCACTGGCCGTGGGGGGCGGGGGGAGCAGAGAGCCAAGCGCAGATCCCAGGAGAAAAGGGAAACCTCGCCGCTGAACGGGGGGAGCGACGGATCGAAATAATTCCCGGACTGGACGACCCATCCTGGTACAATTAAAAATACACTCGCCCGGACGAGAGGCCTGCTTGCTCCCTCTGCTTCTCCTCCAGGGGAAGAAGTTTCCAGACCAAATAAGGCTGCAGCTTCTGAAATGTTCCTGGCACAGAACACAGCTCCTTCTAAGTGCCAGGTCCTAGCGCAGTGCCCATCGGCCATCGATCCCTCGGGGTGACGCTCCAAACAAACCCAGATAAACACAGAGCAGCAGGGCTGGCCCGGCCACCATGCTCCACCCACCCGCTGGCGGCGAGCGTGAGCTCTGTCACTCGGTAGGAAGCCCGATGCCCACGCGGCGGGGTGCAGGGCTCCCCAGACCAGCAACTTCTGCTGGCAGCCGACCGGCTCCAGGACCCTGGGCGCCCTGGCCGTGGCCTTGAGCAGCAAAGGCCATTTCCTGAACCCATGCGAGGAGCCACACGCGTCTTCAGTCCATCGTCACCGTAGCTTTGCGAGTTGACAAGGACGGCAGACGTGTCTGAGCACCGACATGCCAGGCAGCGTTCACGGGGCCTGGTGATGTTTCATACATTTAATGTTCCTAGCAACCCGTGAGCTAAGTCCTGTCATTTCCCTCTATTTCACAGATGAGGAAACCGAGGCACAAGGCCACACTGGGGATGAACCCCGGGCTGACGCGCTCTGAAGCGGGGGCTCCATCCTGGCCCCGTCCCTGGTGTGTCCACCACAGAGAGAGGGCACACCCGCCCCCAGCTGCT